ACTAACTCTGAGCAGCCACCAATTTATGGTGTAGGCGGTGGGCTATTTATAGCTAGGAGGCAACCCGACCTGATTTGTCCGAAATGACCCTGGGTCACTAAGGAACTGACACGTGTCCAACTGTCAAATTTCAAACACACGCGGCAGCTTGACTTGGGCTACAAGTAAAGCTGACTCATCCAGCTCTGGATAAGATTTTCTCTCATTGTCTTCGCTCGAAGACATAGGATTTGGTTGAGCATCACTTTAGTCACTCTGACTTTGTTCACTTGGACCCCACTAAACAGTACGGTGGTTCCTATGACTCAACAAAGAAGAAAAGGAAACTACGAAACAACTATGTCTTCGCAATCCATAGTCTTCATACGATGTCTTCTCATGTCATAGTCTTCAATGTGAAACTCTTCACAGACCACCATTGTCTTCAATGTCTTCACACATTTTTAGGGGTCATCTCTGGTAGGTAAACCGAATCAATGAGGGACTACTACCTGTGTTATCCTGCAATTCTCACAAACACATTAGTCCCTCAACCAAGTTTGTCGGGGTGGCACTAGATGCACTTACAACATATGTGAGTTTCTGAATTTGTAGACATATAGGCATGTGAACTATCTCAATCTCTTCAACTTTGTTAAAACCATCATAAGGACTCAGAAGGACTACCCAATACCTGAATATCCAAGGTCCTCTTTCCATGATTCATTCACAGTCGTCGTGGCATGAAGCTTCCACTATGAATAGGTTAGGACCAACTGGGCGAAAGCGACCTCATGCGTTGGATTCCAAGCCAAACACATCTCCTTAAAGAAGGCAGCTTGGCTTGAAGCTATTCTTTGTGTGAACCCTAGCTGGGGCCAACCAACACACACCATTGTTCAAGACCAGATCATCAACACTGATTTCTAGATCATTGAAGTGCTCGCCTTCTAGATCAAGCTGGTTGAAGAAGTCTCCTAGATCACTCGGATCATCGACCCTCGCGCTGCCACTCGTTGCTGACTACGCATCGGAAGGCACCTCCATCGAACTTGGGTTTGATGGGGTGGGCACGATCACCCGACAGGGGATGGGAGGAGGGAGGTCGCAAGGTGGCTGACCATGGTAGGACTCCTGGAGGTGATCGCAATCAACGCCCGGCACGAAGAAACCCTAGCTGCGGCTTAGGGGATCAATATGCGAGTCAATAAAATGGGTGAAACTTAACACTCATGCAACATTTTATGTGGAAGATGGTTTCGAAGTCACGGGGGCTGTGTTGTGGGATGATAAAGGTATTTTTATAGCTGCATCATGTGAAATTCTTCCTAACGTGACAAGTGCAGTAATTACGGAGGCGATAACAATTTGAAATGGGTTGATATTGGCCATTCATATGGGGTGTTCATGATTGAAGCATAATCGGACTTTTTGGAAATGATTCGAGCCTTAAAAGGAAGTGATACACTTGGTGGATTGACTCAACAATTTAGTTTTGCAGATTGTGTGGACCTGATTACTTTAATTGGGAAAGCAGGTCGTTTGGTGTGATCCAAGCTCGATGTCTTCCGCTCCTATCTTCCTTCTCTTTAAGTAGTGTTGTCCCATGACACGTCCACGTACTTGTGGTTAGGTTGGATGATCCGACGTGGACGGTTGATAACACGATCCTCTCCCTGATTTATCGCGGCTGTTGTCTCAGCTGCCATGGCAACACTTTTGCCTTGCGCCTGATGCTTGCCCCATTTTGTTGCCATCACGGCGCTTTTGAATTTGGCTTCCATAGCAGCGTTTTTGTCTGTTGTCGCCTGTGTTGGAGTTAGATTGCTAACACAACTACAGTAATGGCGGAAGCGACAACAATGCGAAATCGAAATGGGATGGCAGTTCCTATGAGGTGTACATGATTGAAGCGGAATTAAACTCTTTGGAAACGATTCGAGCATTGGAAGGAAGTTATACTTGGTGAAACGACTCAACACGTTATTTTTTCAGATTGAGTGGACCTGATTACGCTAATTGGGAAGGCTTTTTAAGTTGTTCATGATATCGATAGACATACTTCTTGTAATTGGGTCCATGAAGCTCCTAGATTTATTTTGAGCAAACTGATTGACGATGCAACCAGTATTTGATGCAATGATATAAAGCTTGTCACATGGCCTTCTGAATAAAAAAAACCACTAATTTACATGGGTTTCAAGAAAAAGAGGAAAAAGAAAGTAGGTGCGGTCAGCACTGAGCTTGTCCCCCTTGTCTGTTTCCCCGAGAGTGCATCGCTCTTGATCTCTCCTACGTGCCCCGCTGCCACCCCAATCACTCGCCGCCCCATCCCCTCCACAGACCCCGCCTTTCCTTCTTCAAGTAACTCCTCCGTTTCTCCAACCCAAAAGCATCATTTCCATCTCCAGCAATGTCCATTCCCGCCCTCCGCTCCTTCCCAGCCGCCTACGGCGTGAAGCCGACCGCCCGCCTGGTCCGACACCATTCCCGGCTCGGCGGCGGCCTCCGGGCCAGCTCCGTCGCTGTGAACGGGGAGGTGGGGCTGAGAAACAGGAGCGGGAAGAAGGAGGACGCGGTGAAGGAGGAGAAGGACAGAGGACTGGAGCCTCTGTCCGACGACGGGTTCGGGGGCGTGACCGTCAAGGACTACTTCGCTGCCGCCAGGGCCCTGTGCAAGGACGACGGAGGGCCGCCGCGGTGGTTCAGCCCCGTCGAGTGCGGCCAGCCGGCGGTGGAGGACGCGCCCCTGCTGCTCTTCTTGCCAGGTTGGTCGTCCAATCTTTAGCAATAATAGTATATAACTCCGTGCTTTGTGCGCTCCACCCTTGGCCACTGCATGATGGAGGCAGCTCATCAGCGCGAGATCACCGCCATGTTCGCGGTTACCTGAATGGCTAAGTGGCCAGTTTGCTTCTGTTCTAAGAGTTTACCTGACTGCAGGAACTGATGGTGTTGGGATGGGGCTCATTCTGCACCACAAGTCTTTGGGCAAGTGAGTATGCTGTTGCTTTCTATATACGTAGTACTTTAGGGAAATACTATTGCGGGCCAAGCAGGAAAGCCTGCTTTTAGCGTTACTACTAGTGTAGTAGTTTCCATGAAGTCATTATCTATCAAGTTAATCAATGTCAAAACAAAGGGACGCAAAGACCCACCGAGCCTAGATATAATAAGAATATTAAAATTCAAATGTATTTTGATGTCAAATAAAATTTACACAAAGCTGACTTTTAGAAGACCTATATGCGGGCCATGCATATAACATTAATATGTTGTCCAGTACTTAAGTAGGGGCCTTCATTGGTTGACATTATTTGCAAGATTAGTCCAATAAACCGGAAATGAGGGAAGAATAAGCCTACCCAATGTGACCTATGATTCGTCTACATGTTCCTTCTTATTTAGTCTAAAACTGCCCAACGTGACAAAAACTAGACTGCCTCCTTTTGTTTCTCATTTTCTACATTGAAGTCTAATAAAACCTCACGTTACTCATTTGCAGGGCCTTTGAAGTTCGTTGTTTGCATATACCAGTAAATGATCGTACACCATTTGATGGTATGACTTGCATTATTCACCTAGGCTTCACTATTACACCTTCCGTTCATTATTATAAGATGTTTTTAACCTTTTTCTGGATTGGATGTATATAGACGCATGTTAGTGTGTTTGTTCACCATTTCAGTCCGTATGTAGTTCATACTGAAAACATCTTATAACAGTGAACGGAGGGAGAACTATTCTTACTTGGATAATCATCTACGTACCAACTTTTCTCTACAAGTATTTTCTACATACCAACTCACAACAAAGTCCAGAATGTAGAAATATGCATTGATTCTAGAGATGTATATGTATCTCATTAGGACTACAGTTTCATCCAAGTCTAATTTCAGAAATTTGCACAAGGTATAAAGATCAAAACTAGGACAAGTTTAGGACACAAAACTAGTTTCATACCAACTCATAAGTTTTGCAGTTCTTAGAATTTTGTTTCTAGAGATATATATGTATCTCATTAGGACTACAGTTTAATCCAAGTCTAGTTTTGTTTCCCCCTGCTATTTGCGCTTAATAAAATTTTCCTTTATAAGAACGACTTTGTGCAGAGGAACTAGAGGAATACTTTGGTTTTTAAAGTTAGTTTAGACGCCATAACCATTTTGATCTAAAACTGACCAGCGTATCCACCAATGCCAAATACAGAAAACACCCGGTGGTGTGGAGATCCCACCTAAACGAGTCCTTCTCCTGAGTTTGTTGCACCCCCGCGACTCTCAGTATGATCTCATTCCACTCTACTAGATTCACCAAGAGAGCCCCGGGGAAATCAACCCACAAGTTTGCCACTCCGAGGACAGAGGCAACGGTGGCATCCTTCTGACCAGCCAGTTTTGGTCTGTACGAAAAAAGAAAAAGAAAAAAGGCATAATGTCATCGTCGCGCTTCTTTTGCATCTCCCAATGCCTGGTAATTCTTCGGTGTTAATTACACCAACTTCATCTCCTACATGTGCATTAACTTGCTTGGTCTTGTCTCCCGGGCGTCCTCTTTGCTGAGGTCTTCTGTCCGCCGCACCATGTTGCCCCTGTAGAGCCCACCGCAGAAGTAGGACTACAAAATAAAATTACTGTTATGAATTGTGAAGGGAAATCAGGGATAAGTACCCCGAAAGCTTCTATTGACCTAACAGCAATGAACATAAATGCTTACAGGGCTATTACAAATTGTCGAAAAATCTATCCAATATGAGCATGATTTATCACCAAACAGACCGATATATCTTGTTGGAGATTCCTTTGGTGGATGCCTGGCACTTGCAGCGGCAGCTCGTAATCCACACATCGATTTGGTCCTCCTACTGGTAAACCCAGGCAAGTGAAAATGTTGTATTTTAGAATGTGATGAGATAGTTCTTTCTTTAATTATAAAATAACTTGATGGTTTTTCTTCTTTTTTCTGCAGCAACATCATTTGCAAAGACTCCACTGCAGCCAATATTGCCTCTTTTGGAAGCAATGCCAAGCGACCTTCATGTTACAGTTCCGTATCTTCTTAGTTTTGTTATGGGTATACTTCTTAGCTTGTTAATTACCCTGGCCTGTGCTTTCTTCCAGTTGTTCCGTGCATCTTTTTTCCAACTGTATAATCTGATATGCTTGTCACAAAATTTTCTTGTTAATTTCATATGAACTAAAGAACTTGGAAGACATGATCTTGATTTTGAGTTATTGCTTGATAATAAAAGCATCCAGGCAGAATTCTACCTCACTGTATGTACTTTTAAAATTTAAATCTTGTTCAATTATCTTTTTATGAGCCAAGGATGTTTATGCGCAGCTGACCCTCTGAAGATGGCTATGGTTAGCATTGAGAACAACCTTTCTCCTCCAGAAACTCTTCAAAAGCTGTCAGAAAGTCTCACTTCTTTGCTGCCTTTGCTTTCAGTATGTTTCCATAGCTCCTCCTCTTTTTAAGTTTTATGTTTATCTATCCCATACATTCATTTTTATGTGACCTCCTATTCAAACATATGGAGTGCAAGAAAAAAATCCATATAGACTACAAAAAAAAAAAACATATGGAGTGCAAGAAACATATATGCTTATAAACTTCCTAAATGTTATTTGATCTGCTGTAACTCTATCCGCCAACGTTCATAAAAAAGACTTGATTTGTACATCTTTTAGGAGATCTCTACTTTAAGAAATGATTATTTATTTATTTTTGCAAGTCTAGAAAAGCATATAGAGTACAGACGTACAGACGTACAGTTGCATTTGCCGGAAAGGAGAAGTATCCATTTCTTTTAACCACTATTTTCAGAAGTCCTTGTGCTCTTAGTCCTCAGAAGAATCGGTTACAACCTTTTATAGAGCTATTTAATCACCTAGATATATTTTCTTATTATTGTTTTAGATTTCATTCCTTTCATTTATCAGCAATTGGCAGATATCATACCAAGGGATGCTCTTTTGTGGAAGCTCAAGCTTCTTAAGTCAGGAGCAGCCTATGCCAACTCTCGTCTTCATGCTGTACAAGCTGAAGTTCTGTTTCTTGCCAGGTAATCATTATAATGGTGCTGCCTAAATCCTCATTCTCTAGTCTTGTTTGATTTTCTATATCTAACTGTTTGATCTGATACTCTCCATATTAATTAATTTATTTAGTGGCAAAGACAATCTTCTGCCGAGTGGAGAAGAGGCAGATCGACTCTTCAAGGCACTGAAAAACTGCAGAGTTCGATACTTCAAGGAAAATGGCCATACACTACTCTTGGTACACTCACAATTCATCAAAGCGTTTCGGAGCCAGTCCGGTGTTTTCATTTCAATATTCATGCCAACCACTGTATGTCTTGGAGTACAATTTTGAACTTCATATTTTCCTTGCACAGGAGGATGGTGTTAATCTGTTATCTGTTATAAAAGGTGCAAACATGTACCGCCGTGGCAGGCAACGGGACTTTGTGACCGACTACCTTCCCCCTACACTAAGTGAGTTCAAGAAAACATTTGATGAAGACCACAAGTACGTATTCAACTTCTGAGAGTGCTTCCCTACTTGCATAGATCTAGTAAGTGAAAAACTTATAACCTTTTGCAGATTGTTTCACCTTGCACTGAGCCCAGTCATGATGTCTACTCTGACAAATGGAAAAATTGTCCGTGGCCTTGCTGGTGTTCCTGACCAAGGTCCTGTCTTGTTTGTGGGTTATCATGCACTGATGGGGATCGAGTTAAGCCCATTGTATGAAGAGTTTTTGAGGGAGAAGAACACGATTGTTCGTGGCATGGCTCATCCAATGTTGTTTGGATCAAAATATGAGACCTCGCGCCAGGAGTCGTCTCGGCTTGATACAGTCTCTATGTATGGCGGATTACCAGTCACTCCAATCAATATGTACAGGCTGTTTGAGAGAAATCAATATGTTCTCCTCTATCCTGGTGGTGCTCGGGAAGCTCTACATAGGAAGGTGTGCTTAATGTCTCCATATCTCTATTAAGCCTTGACATAACCATTAGGGACAGGACTGGTATTTAAGTCAAATTTGACTAAATTCCTGAAGTTTACCACAGAATACCACTCTTCCAAACACGCTCTTAGAGTTTCACCACACGGAACTACTTTTGCAAACACCTAATTTAGCACATCAGCTTTTGTTATTAGGAGTGTGCTCACATGTACAAAAATAGTATGATCAAGGCTAGTGTCTAACAAGTATTCCACAAGGACCACGACTTAAAATACATACCAAAAAAATGGTAGAGTTATAGTAGATTTTACCTTCTTTTTTCTAATGTAATAATTGAGCTGGATTTGGCAGGGTGAAGAATACAAGTTGTTTTGGCCAGATCAGCCTGAATTTGTAAGGATGGCGGCAAGGTTTGGTGTTACAGTCATTCCATTTGGGTTTGTCGGAGAAGATGACATTTTAGAGGTAGCTTTCCTAATCCTTCTTTTGTTTCTATAGGAGAAATCAACACTGTTAAATCTCTATTTCTAAAAATATCACTGAAAATCGAAATTTGCGTTCATATGTCATATCATTTGAAATCTTAACCAGTTGAACATTTATTTATTTTTTAGATAATAATGGAAGCCTTTTTCTCAGTGGAGCCATTTTTTGCCAAAAAGACCCAAAGTGGTCGGACCCTTCCCCGGACCCTGCGCAAGCGGGAGCTACGTGCACTAGGCTGCCCTTTTAGATAATGGAAGCCTTATTACCCCCGGCCTCTCCATCATAGATGCAGAGACAAAAAAATTGACTTCGCTGAGAAAAGGGGGAGACGAAAATATCAATACAATCAAATGAAAGTAGGTAGTAACATACCGACCAAGGCAAAGACTAAGAAACCTGTCAATGGCATGCCATCCAAACCGGGACATAAACCCCTAGGTAATACATTTGAGCCGCTTGGCGCTTGTGCTGTGCCTTCTGTAACAACACTCGTGATTACATCCAACTCGTACACGAGAGTAACACCTGCATACATGATTGAACTTTTTGATGTCACAAACATCGTAATGAAAAGGCAGCGCTCCTGCTGGTTGCTTGAAAAAACATCATTCATGCATAGCCAAATAGACCAAAATACCGCTGCAGCCCCAACCAAGCTGAAGTTTTGTAGTTTTCAGAAGTCAACTTACCGATTACATAAAGGTGAAAGCATGTGTTATTCGAGGAAAAATAACATGAAAGCATGGCACAGCAAATGACTTCGAAGATATAGAAAAAGACACCAACTCGAGATCTCCGCAGGACATGTGTGGTGATAAGTGATAACACATTTGTAACCAAGGTTGAGTAGCAGATTTTGGGGAAAGCTATACCAAGTGTATTTGTGTCTTCTTTCTGCAGTTGGTTCTGGATTACAATGATCAAAAGAACATTCCGTACCTTCGGGAGTGGATAGAGTCAATCAACAAAGACGGCCAGAGAGTGAGGTCAGATTTAATTTCCAAACAAATGAATCAAGTGTTCTGATCTTACCTTTGTGGAATTGCTACTTGGACTCTTTTTCATTCTGCTGTGAATATTTGTCATTTCAGAGATAGCGTCAAAGGAGAGGAAGGGAATCAGGACATGCACATACCTGCTATTGTTCCTAAAGTACCCGGACGATTCTACTACCTTTTTGGCAAACCAATCAAAATGGAAGGGATGAAAAATGTTCTGACGGATAGGGAGAGCGCAAATGAAGTGTATTTACATATCAAATCAGAAGTCGAGAACGCAATGGCATACTTAAAGAGGAAGAGGGAGGAAGACCCTTACAGGAGTATAGCTCAGCGTGCTGTGTACCAGGCAACTCAGGGTGTTTCTGCTCAAGTCCCAACTTTTGAACCATGAAGACTAGGTGCAAATATATTCCTGTGATAGTGTGACTGCACATTGGCAGATAGTAGGTATCCATTATAGCAGAGTATAACACAGTACATAATGTGTAGCTAACAAATGTATCTGAATATTTGTATTATGTTTTGAATGTACATGTTACTTATTGATAGTGATTAATTAACACCAAAATGTTATTGATTATTTGATACTTGTTCACAATAAAGGGTCTCTTTTATCCTGTACTAGTACTCCTACTATGTAGTCAATGTGAAAACACACCACCTAAAGTGACAGGTGCATCAGATGTGTTCACCTTTCCGACAACTTCTTTTAGGAGAAGATGTTATACTGGCTACCAACGATTTTATTTATTAAAAAAAGCACTGCTAGGCAAGCGCTTAAGCATGACTAGGCGCTATGCGACAGCAGAACGCCTAGCCTTGAGGGCTGCTAGTGCTAGGCAGAGGCAAAATAGGAATTTAGACCTAGGGCTTTTTTGAACCTGCTGGCTACCTGTCATGTTTTGAAAAGATTTCACATGTAGGTGGTTTGACACACAGTAACATACCATAGATTTCAAAGGGAAAAAAACATGCAAGTTACTGCAATAACTTTAGAAAACTCCTTGGGACTTCCACTGTTTCACACTTCAACATTTCTACCTGATTACATGGACCTGTTTATGATTTATCAAAAAGATGGCAAAAGCTGTGGTCTCAGCAGCCCTAGAGAACAAGAGCGCTGCCATTATTTCTACACTGGTGAATGATAAAACTTAAATGTTAATGAAATGGTTCAGGCTGGCGTAAGCCCGCCGTAACACCATCAAAAATAAATAAAACTTAAATGTTTGACAGAAAGCCACTGGGAAATAAGGGCACAACGGCTGGTTTGAAAACACCAGAAAATAACTCAAAGTTTGTGAAAACAGGAAAATAAGGGCTCAACGACTGGTTGATAACACGTCTTGAAGATCAGAAATCAGTAACAGAAGAAATGGAACAAGCCAACAAGATTAATATTGGCATGGACACGACACTGTTAGATGTGTATGTGTATAGTTTGTGTACATCCCCATTGTATAAGGGACTTTTCTGCACTTTACCACATCTGTATATGTATCCCTCAGTAAAGCTAGTTGCTCATTCCTAACATGGTATCAGATGCTTAGGTTCCTCTCCCGCTCCCGCACGCCCGCAACTCCGTGCTCCCTCTTCCTAGTCTGCCTCGATTCCATTCCGGCCAACCTTTCCGGCAGCTGCTGTTCCGGTCGCCGTTACCATCTGCCGCTGTGCCGGCCACCGCGGCCGCATCTGTCCCGGCCGGCCACGCCTCCCATGGCTGCAGCACCG